TGGCTCAGGAAAGCCAGCATGACCAAATTGGTCAGAGGTGATGTCTTTCAGGGAAAGAACCCTGGCAGTGCCTGTGCATGGCCACCCACCTGTCCTGGACACACTACTCCTCTTGGCACCAGGAGCAACACATGTGCTGCTCTGCAGTCTCTAACTCATAGCCTTTTCCAGAAGATTGTTTATTTTACATGAGGAGACAGCACCTTGTCCTGCATAGTAATTTGTGTGTATTTTTTTGGATTGACTTCTATAAGTGTCAAACATTTTATCTCTTACTGTTGCAAGAATCAGTAACTTTTCGTATGTCATTCCTCAGTTTGTTTTAAATTGCACCAGTGTAACAGCCCAACTGATACCATCAGTGTTTCCTAAATTACTGATCAATATTCCCAGCTGCAGATTCAGCAAGAAAAGGAGGCAAATCATGTGGTAGGGGTTGTGGGAGGAAAACAGAGAAAAAGCTAAAATTTGGATTACATAAGTTGACTTTAATGGAGCAACATGAAAATGCAGCAGAAGAATATTGGACCCCATTTCAGATGTGTCATATGAAAGTAGAATTCAGGTCCGATGACGTGGTGTTTCATATCCAAGTGCCTTTGACCTTAGTAGCTTAAGCTGGACTGAGTGATCTAGTGCCTAAATATGTTTTCAAATTTATGGTATGGCCATGGCCACATTTTGTCAAACTGTTATTGATTCAGTAACAGAAATACATGTTTTTTTGCTGCCTCTGTCTCAGGACCACTTTAGGGCTGCAGTTTGACTGAATAACTAGTCGGTTGCTTACTGGAAACCAAGCTTAAATCTCACAAGTCAATATTTATGTATTTATCCGTTGTTACATGTTGGTCATCAACTTCATTACATCCACTTTTGACCCTTAAGTATTTCATCACATAGATTCATAATGCGGTATGTCATTTTTAATAATGTCATGTATGATGCTCTCTCAAGGGAAGTAAGGATTCTTTCCCACATACATGTTTCAGGGTGGTTTGTACAATAACTGAAACTAGACTGAAATCTGATGTAATGCGCTATCAAAATGTTCTGTTACATTTCTGTTACAGTATAGTACACTTTAATGTAATTTTTTCTTTTCCTGTGAGAACCATGACTAATTACTAAGTTAAAAGCCAATCATAATACCCAAATGGCAATATGGCAACTATAGGGCTTTCGTTGTCAACTTTGGTTAGTTTGTTTAATGTTATATGCAGCGGAAAAAGGGAATGCAAAGAAAGAAGAAACCTGAAAACCACTTTGTCTCATTTCAGCTCAATAAAAATATGAGATTATGTTGCTACCAACAGCACTTCCTGCTTACAAAATTGACAGTACTCAGTGAATATTATCAAATTAGGTTGGTTATTATGTCTTTGACAGCATATGGTATTAATGGATTTCAGAGGCTGATAAATGTGTTTGTAGAATAGAAAGGCCTGTGGAAAACCTAAGAGCTGGAAGATTCAGTTGCTAACTTTAAAGGCCAGCTGAACAGGCCTAGTTGCATTTTCCTGTCCATCAACTCGTCATGGTCAATGCTTAATGCTAACTTCAATGCAATAATAAGGGATGCATAGAAGAAGTCAAACACATATCTCATAAAACAAAATTTATCTTTAATTTGTAAGTGTCAACAGCAGTACAAAAGATGGAGTGATGGTGAATAGATTAAGGGTAGAGAGGACAGTCTTGAGGTAAATGAGCATAAATAGGCAGTCTTATAGACACTCCCCTGAGGGGTCTAAACCCCCATCATGGCATAAACTGTATCACCCAAGGATGACATGTTTAACATATCAGGAAAGCACCTTGTGCAAAAAAAAAAAAAAAAAAAAAACAACAAAAAAACAAAACAAACCAAAACAAAGAAAAAAACCCACCCGAAACATGTAGGTAAGGTGCCAACATACACCAGAACATACTGTATATGAACAGTGTCTCTCAATTTTGTCTTTTCCATTAGTAACTGAGGCAGAGGAGGAGAAGACTCTTAAAAGTACCACTGAAAGATTATTTCATATTTAATTTACCTCACGTCAATACTGCACAACAAAATCCAAGAAGTCTGTTTATGCAATGAAGCAGAGCTAAGAATAACTATTCTCTTTGTTAAATTGAGAACAGACTTTTTTTTTTTAAATCAGTATCCTTAGCAAACTTTTTTCTTTTTTTTTTTTTTCTTTTTTACTGTGTCAAGAGGAGAGTGTGAGATGTGATGGCAACCTTTAAGTTCATTTAAAAACTTTACACTGGACTGTACAAGATTTTTTTTGATAAACTATTTACATTTTCAGACTTTAAAACATATTCAAAGCAGCAATAGACACTAGTTTTTCCTCTAAACGCCCAAATAATTATCGGCCATGGGCCCAGGTAGGTACCTGCATTGTATATAGAATTTCTACAAAGAAAACCTGCCCATTAAATTAGCCAGTGGGTGTCCAACGAGCAGCCCTCGCCATTAAGAGCTGCACCCACAGTGTTGCTATAGGAAATCAAAGCATAGTACCTTGACAAGAGAGTCTCAGTTGTCCCAATAGCTCTACACAAACTTTACAATTTGAAACAGCAGCTAGCATGTCAGTCCAGCATGTCAGTGAATTGTGCTGATTAAATTAACATAGAGTACAATCTCACAATATACATCACAAACAAATTACAATGTCAGGAAATAAGAGTTACAGTAAGATAAGTTATGTAGTAACAGCTTATAAGCTTGTCTTAATGTAATAAAAAAATTTTTACATGGGAAATACAATAATGAATGAACATAAATGCTAAGCATTCTAGTTTGCTACAAGCTGAAGAAGGGTACAAGAAAAAAACACATTGCTTTCTAGAAAGCAAAACACAAATGACAAAGGAAGACAAATGGAGAATGCACACTAGCAGGTCTGCAATGTGCAGCATACAAACAGTTAAATATTTGCACATTCCCCATACTCCAAGAGCACCAAGGACCTCACTTGTGGTTTTTAGAAAGCGGAAATTACAAAGCAAGCCATGTCACTAAGTTGCTTTATAGCTTTCATATTGCCATAAATAACAATTTGATAAGTTTTCCTCTAGCCCAGTTCACCCCATCCCACCCCCTTTGTACCCAGCGTGTGAAATCTCAGAATATTTCTTTGTCATCATCTCCATCAAATCTGGTAGTTAAAAAAGGGCGATGGATTAAAATTAAATGCATTTGCGTATACATTTCTTTTTTCCTCCTGTGGCAGGACATTACAGGATATCAAAAATGTAGTTTGATCTCAGAAAAATCATATTAATGGGTTATATGAAAAAAAAAAGGGGGGGTTGGGGGAATTTTTTTTTAAAGGAAAAAGTGTTTTGTAAAAGATCGAATGAGATCATATAGTATTATTTAAAAGAACATGCTTAAGTGCCAACCTGAATCTTAAAAAAGCATGCAAAAAAACAAGGGTCCAAGCCCGTTCATTAACATCTCATCAAAACATGAAGAACGCTATTATACATTCTGCTGGCTGCATCTCCAGTGCAGTTGTTCACACCATGGCCCTGGCTCAGCAAAGTTTGTCCTGCTTAACGCCAGCGCTTTACTGGTCATTATGATGGCCATGGAAGTACTAGCAATGCTTAACTGTAAGCAGGTAGAAAAGTGTTTTGCTGGGGGAGGATAGGGGTGTTAATCTTGTAGTATGTTTTGCTAGGAAATGATTTTGTAATGCCATGCCTTTGATACGACCAAAAAACAAACCCAGAAATTCAACCCAGAGAGGGGACTACCTTTTAGATTGCACTGAGAGGTGGTTGTGTTTGTACTTAGAACAGGAACTACCCACAGCTGACTGCTGTACACTCTGCACAGGGTATCATATTTATTGCGACTGAAGTTGTCATTTGGCATTCCCACCCCAGAGCAATCCCGTCTTTTGCCCTCCCCCTGCCTCATACTGCACCTGAGTACACTGATTTAGGAGCGCATTGTAATCCCATGTATTCTCAGCAGGCGGTTTCACAAGCTAAATGGTGATGCCCAAACATACAGGCAGACCAGAATTGGGCCACTTCGTCAGTCATTTCTCCACGTAAACCTGTACCCTGAAAAGCAGTACTGTTTCCATTAAGACTTCTCCATTTTTATGGATTATGAAGTGAACTATTTGAGGTGTTATCAGACTGTTTTGGGAGTGTTCTTCTCTTGAAAATAAGTATTTTGTAATTTTCCAAAAAGAAAATATATTGTATATGTTAATTAAATAAACTGTCCACAGAGAAAATAGTATTACTATATTCATGCGTTACCTGAATGGAGTTGTTACTTTTTTCAGTCAGAATTATTAAGAGGGGCTGAAACACAATGCTTAAAAAGCAATTCTGCAAGTCCTCTTTGTGTATTGTGTGAACAATTTCCCCTGGTATTATAGCTTAATATGACAATAACATGATTTAAGGGAAGTAGGAAATAAAGGTTTGATATTATTAAGTCTTGCCTTCATTGCAAGGGCCATCGTGGGTATGATAACCTTTCAGGGGTATACTTCTGAATTCCAAGTTAGGCAGTTATTGTTAGGAAGTAAAATATCTCATCAGTTTTACTTGGATTCAGAAGACTAATTGTGTTTCCTATCAAATGTATCAGAAATTTGGTATGTTTAATGTATCAACTTTCTAAAAAAGAAAAAAGTATTCTGTGTTTCTGGAATACACTATTAAAAATCAGTGAGAGCACAAGTGAGGCGTCTTGCTGTCCCAGCTACAGGTCCACAATACTGCACTCACACTGCGGGTGTAAATTCAGCATCTACATGAGGTACAGTGACTTGTCAGCATTTAATATGGACCAACATACACTGATATAGAACAAAAGTAAATACATAACTTATACTTCACTAAGTATCCATGAACAAAAAATAAAATTCTATTTCCTATGTTATATTTACACAATTTAAAAAAAATCTAAAATGAGATGGTAAATTCATTAAAAACTTTGTTTTGAGCTCCGATTAATAAAGTACTGTTGGTTTTATCCTTATGATTGTCCTTTCTTGATTTCTACTGACATTTTAGAGCCAATGTTGGCTAATAAATAGAATAAAATGCTCACAGGCACGATTCAGATTCAAATATGTTCCTCCCACTCTCCCAGCCAATAAATGCAATTTTTAACCAGCTGGCAATTCCTGAACAGCCAGTCATTTTCAAGAATGTGGCTTTAACATACAAAGCATCAGCACGGAGGCAGGGCTGGAGCTAAAACAAAGTGTTCATACATACATGTACTTTGCATAAATAAATGAAATAACAAGACATAAAAATGACTCAAGTCCGGCAACTGTGAGGCAGGCCCACACGAGTCGAAACAGATGACTTTTGTTCATGTAGTTTTCGTACAACAGTTTCACATTAGTCAGAAGTGATAAAAAATACCATTTATATCCAGTGCTTATAACACTTACGAAACAACATCTGTGAGTGTGTGTTTTTTTGTACTACAAGCAAAATCAAGTTTCAGTCCTAAAGAACAGTCCTTTGTTCTCCACAAGCCTGCAGAATATTATTTTGGCATGGTCATAAAATTTAAAAAAATTAACCAACTAATCTAAATGTTTGCCTTTGTGCAAAAAAAAAAAAAAAATTACATAAAATACAATGCTAGCAATACAGCATTCTACCTATGCAACAAAAACAGAAAAAAAGAGAAAGTGACATGGGGGGGAGGGAGAAATAATTCTAACTAACTGGAGAATTATGTAAGACATTAATAAATAGTCATTATTTTAGGAAATAATGATATCCTCCCCCTCATCTGAGTTGAATGAATTAAAACCAGTTCAAATTCCCAAGCAATAATAACAAAAAAACACTTTCTATCAGTACCTTAGCTAGCTTAAAGAGGGCGCTCACCAGCTAACGACACAGAATATGCCTTTAAAGTCTTGGCTAGACCAGTTTATTGCTTATTAGACATGGACTCAGAACACAAATAAATATTAAAAATATAGCATTTTGTTCCAAATTACAAAATGGTCAGAGAAATTTGACCATTGTGTTTCTATGCCATTTTCTTTATAAATTGAACAATCCCATTTGTCTTGGGGGCTGTCTTACACACAGAATTGTGATTCCTACAGCGGCAGCAATGGCTGTCTCTGCCCAAATAGGTATTAGTGGAGCTATGAGGAAACTGACTGCTCCCAATACAGCATCTTGTCATTGCAGCTTACATGAATTTCTGTGAGAGAGGATGATAGTACAAGGACAGCTGACATTAACACTGTACTTTCATTGTCTGGGCCCTAAAAAAGCCTGTTCACCTCTGTAGGAAGATTCCCACAGACTTCAAGAGGAGCTGCTCTATGCCCACTCATACCTCTCAGCCTGAGTCTGAATTTATCACCAATGTGCTGAACATATCCAATGAAAAATAAAAGCTAAGAGAGTGGAGGAACTTCAGCTTCAGCACATATATCATCAGGCCCATTGAATCTGCATATACACATATATATACAGTGATGTATTTGTGAACAGGAGTGGAGTATGAGGGAAAAAAATAAAGGCAGTTTCTTCTCTGTCTCTTAAATGCAATCAATTTGCAGTCTTCAAATTTCTATCTCTTGTGTATTTCCCAGATTTGTCTCCAGCAATTGCATTGTTTCTAGAGGCAATGCAAATACAAATTTTAGTTTCTATAGCACCTTACATCCAAAGATCCCAAAGCACTTGACAAGCATTCATCCATATCTGGCGCACATTTCCACATGACTAGTATTCAGTAAATACATTTGATGCACCGTTTTCCCAGCTCTGCAAGTCAGGTATTTTTGTGGCTTTCCCTCACCCATTAGAAGTCTCACATATAAATCACTACATAAATACTTAAGGTAGCAAACAGTTCCTTCAGGTGACAACAGGAACATGATATACAGAGCTATGATTCACTGCAGGATTCTACAGGCCCTAAAAGTTCATCATGATGGATTTTACATCTGTCTTTGCTGTCCAAGTATAGAGGTTTATAACTATAAACACAATTCTTTAGGAATATTGGTACTCTATGTACATATAAAAGAACTCACTTTATTTTGCATTACATATAGCAGAGTGTTTCCAAGTGCTCCTTGAACATACAGTGTTACAGGGACAACTGAATTTCTCATTCATAACTGTCACGATCATTTTAGTAGCAGGTGCACTTTTATTTTCATATCCCTGTGTGATTTAGGGGAGGAGAAAGAACGTGTTCTTTAAAATATCAGTAAGGAATTGTAAGTGTAATGCCACCAACAGTACTTTTAAAAATAAATATTAAGTATTTGGACCCTTGACATTCTGGAATGAATAAATTATTTAAGAGAATATGTGTTAAGACTGAATGCAAGGGTTAAAAGCAGAAGGGTAGAGAATGTAATCAGAGGTGGCCTCACACTGCTAAGACAGGCCTGTCCATAGCTGGTGATCGCTCTTTTGTGCTTACTTAAAATGTCACACTAATGGCACATCAAGAGGCAAAAGCAATTGGGCACATGCACTATGGCAACCATATTCACTACTTAAGAATATCCTGTCTCCAGATTCCTGAGTACTTTACCATATTCTGGAAAAAATTAGGTTTTATATATAATTTTTTTTTAAGATGCCAAAGGATTGTCTAAGACTTTACAGTGTCTCCTTTAAGACTTTCTTTTTTTGAATGTTAAGATTCAAAAGTTATGAAAAGTTTGGCACATCAGAAGTTCAGCTATACATATGGAAAAAAAATGGAATTCAGAGACTATTTTTTTAAAGACAAGCTATGATGCACAGATGTGCACACTTGTGGACTTGTTCTGTTTCGCAATATGAAATCTGCAGTTTTTGTTTTCTAAAATAATCCAGAATAAAAACACATTCACAACCTGTAGGCTGGCACAGCATACCTGAGTGAGAATGTATAACCCCCATCTAAAACAGTAACTTAAACCTTTATCAGCATCCAAACGGAAAAAAGACAAAAGGTAAGACTTGTAAGACAGCTATTGATTCATATAAGTTTTCAAGTCCTGATGTCTGATATTTAATATATGTCTTCATCTAAATTAAAAAAAAAAAAATCCAACAAAACAACAAAACAAAACAAAACAAGTTCATGAAAAATTAGGGAAACAATCTGTCTCACACATTAAGAAACATTTAAGACCATTCTGCTGATGTAACTGTAGGAGCCACACATGCATTCAGGCTCTTTAAGAACTTTTGTTCAAAAAAAAACCCAAAAAATCCAGTTGAGTCTGAGTAGTTTAATTCTGTGAACACTCCTCAGTTGGCACTGACTGCCTCATGGGCTTCATTTTCACTACTATAGTCTGATTTGGGATCATCCTCATAGTCCTCGTACATTTCTATTTCATCCTCTCCATTTATCATTTCATTTCCAGCAAGGCTTCCGCTGTCCGTCTTCATACCATAAGTGCTCTGAATGACAGGGATGCTGGGCTCAGGGCTGGCAGAGGTGCTCGAGCAATCTGATGTCATCTGAGGTGATGGCGTGGTAGTCGCCATGGTAATAGCACCAGGATAGACAACCCCCGTTCCTGTGGTGATTGGAATTTGAGGCTGTTGTCTGGAAGGAAAAACGAGAGGGGGACATGATTTCCTGTGTTCAGAGGAGGGAAAATCTTCTACAATTCCAAATGAAAGAAAAGCGTGTAGTTTCCTAGAAAGCATGCATGCATTCCTCTAGGGTTCGCAGTTAGGTCCCTTATGGTATTGTTTCCTCTTAGCTCCCCCACAAGGACAACTGGTGATTAAACTGTTCAGTAACTAGCAGATGTTGATTCTTTTATGCATTTTGTGTGTTTGTTTAAAACATACTGCAAACCAGCACTTGGACAGAGATCATCCAAAGGCTTCGGGCATGCATGTGACGCCTGACTGCTACTGTAGACATCATGCATCCAAAATCTAAATCCTCCAAACACCTGACAAGAGCTTTTGTTAGTGAGGGGACCTCAAAAGTAAGTACCTAAAATGGCAGACAGGTGACTGAGTAACTTAAATTTACTGTTTAAGTGCTAGGTATACTCCTACATCACTCAGAAAGGCTTTTGATATTTTATTGCTGGCTTCCGATTTTTATTTATATCCATGATCAGGATGCCGTTTATTCTTCAGGATTTAATGTGTAAGACTGAGGGTTTTACGCAAAATACTTAAAAAAAAAACAACTAATTTTTTCTATGTTAACAGACGGTCTACAGAAATTAAGATTTTCTCCTGAGCACCTGATGTCAGACCTGATTTATTTTGACAATGCAAATACATGGGACGACTCAATTAAGGATGTACTATCTCTATTTTTGACACATCTTACCTTCTGATATTTACACTATATGATGTGTATATGATTTTAAGCATACTGGAACAATATCACACTTAAACTAAAATAGGCTTATATCACTGCCAGTCAAGAAATTCAACGCATGCTTTACTGTAAGCATGTACTAACTGATGCAATGTCTCTTCTTACAGTGATGTATGTATATTCAAATGCTTTGCTGAGTGAAGGTCAGGTTGCTGAACCTGTTCTATGATCAAGCCCTTACTGGCTACAGATTAATTAAATCTACATCTTACATTTAGGTTAATTAACTAATAACATACTTTCTATATTAAAATACACATACAAATATTCTCATACTATTTCTGGATCATTACCTTTAGTTAAAAAAAAAAAGCTAAGAGAAAGAGAAGGGATGTAACTCATCTGAAGGAAGAGAATCTCCATAGTACCTTAGATGCAGTATTGAATGAATATACTTCAGCACCAGCATTACCTCTAAGTGCCCTGGAAGATGGTGGTTTAGTATTAACTAGTTATTGAACATAGATACCTATCTGCGTAATTTATTTAAAGGATCATAGATTTCAATGTATTCCCAATCATCTTTAGAGCAATATTGACCAGGTTAATTAGACAACTGCTATATCATTTTAGCATGAGAAACAGTGTCAAGTTTATTTGAATAGTCTAATGAATTTAATTTCTTGACCACTGTGTCATTCTATGCTAAAATTCAAAAGGACATTCCATAAGCCAGTCTCTTACAAATCCATAATCACTGGCTAAATCATACACAAAATAATGTAAAGCTTATTGACAAGACCCGTAATGTGGAGTCTTCATTGTTCTTTGATCAAATTCTGATTTTGATAAATATCGCACTACAGAGCGAAACCTGTAGTTTCTTAGTAGAGTCTTTCAAGTTTGAGAACTAATACTGACAGTCAAATCATGAACACACTGTGTAAGATAATATTAAAATAGCATGTAGCTCTGTCATTGCTGCTACTGCTAGCCTGACTCTTACAGCCTCTGCACAGCTTGAGAAATTCGAACATCTGTTGTATAAGTATGGTACACCTGGCTAGCAGCAAGCAAAAATATTGCAGTAATTCATTTGACAGAGTCTTTATACTCCTGTTTGCAAATGATGATTTGCAGATGATTTACACACAGCAAGGAATTTTTCACTAAATTTTCACTTTTTAAATGGTCTGATAAATGTTCTGTGAAAACAATTTTCAACCAATGCATTTGCTTGCAAGTGATTTTCTGCAAATATCTTTCAATACTTTATCCATAAAATTGAACACCCACATCTCATGGGAACATTTCTGTTTTAGGATTGCATGTTATCAGGAGTATAAACCATTACTGTTAAAACCCCACATTTATCTCCTCCACAACTTCAAGGCACAGAAAACATTCACTTTAATGACTCTTTCCACAAAGCAAAGGAAAAAGAAACCCACACATAGTCACAGCAAAATTCTACATAGTTGTCATCAGACCATACACACTTAATTCTCTCTAATCTGCTCATATAACAAATTCTGGTACTAATATTTTTTCAGTATTTCTTAAAATAAGTAAGTTCACAAAACACAGCATCCAAAATCATTCATCAAAGAACACCACAATATTAATGCCAAAAGATGTTCTGAGAGAAGTTGTTTTTATAACTCTTCCAGTAACAGTTATAGAATATACTGAGAAAATAATTGAGTGTAAGCTGTTCTTGCATTATAGAAGATGCTAGGGATTGGGACCCTACTATCCACTGCTATCACTCCTCCCAGAATATTTGCATTTTTTAGAAGCAAATTGCCTTTTTATAAGCAGCAAGAAGGAAAAAAAATCTTTGTTACACAGGGCTGTGAGAGTGTCTTGATAAAATGATGGCTGTCAGTGTTTAAGCCCTAAAGGACAGACTGCATTAAAAAAATCAGATATTCTTTCAAATGCTTATCAACTCAGAAAAACCCTTTTGTATAGCCACTTTTCAATGGGACAGGGTATATTTGTCCAACTACCACTCATTTCAAAGTGTAAGGAGAGCAGGTCATCTGAGCATAATAAAGCAGAATTTAGAGAGATAACTTTTCCTTAAGAATGCACCAGAATCATGGCAAACTGTATAATGAATCTAACTGGTAAAGATCTTGATTAGTGTGACAGGAAACTTAAAGGCTCACTGAATTCATCATTCATAAATTCAGTTCTTTTTTATATATTAAACAAAAATCAGACATGGTGTGCATGCGTGCTGGTGGATGGGTAATAACTGTGAGCTTTAAATTACCTGTATCTCACTGTGGAATAGTAAACATGTGGTGACTGTACCACCTAAATGGGAAGTGTTCTCAAACTGCTATCCTTTTGCTAGCAAAAATTTGCTAACACTCAAACATGGGCACCCCCACACTTCCAGTAACTGGACACCTATTTCTCACTCAAGCATTTTTATTATTTAAAGCTGATAAGGTTGTCAGTGTATATTCTGCTCAAGCTGCTGCATTACATCACAGAAAGCCTTATTTTAAGATATAATGAACTGTATGGATGGCATATGTTACTGGAGATGAGTGTTACCATTTTCTAAATAGTTAAATTTTATAGGATGGGGAGGGGGAAAGAAATCAGAGCATTTATTTGAATTCTAATCACTCTCCCTGAAAGGAAGATTTGGATTTTCTAACCTATGACTCCGACAATTTTTTTTTTTTTTTTGTGGTTTTGGGTTTGTTTTTTTTTTTTGCTTGTGGGTATTTTTTTTGTGGGTGTTGTTTTTATTGTAATTTTTGGTGGTTTTTTTTTTTTTTTTTGGTTCTGGTTTGGGTTATTTTGAAGGCATTCGCTTCAATGGCACTTTTTTTATAATATTAAATTCTATGTTTAATCCTTGTGCCTAGCTAGATTTTTTGCCTTTCCTAAGACCCTAGAGTAAGGAGATAAAAGCATACTTACTGCAAGCTACAGGTTACAATTCAGCTTAGTTGCATGCGTCTAAAGCAACAATGTGTTCTGCCTGGTTAAGATTTCCAGAAGCCAACATTAATCTTTTTATCTCTTCAGATCTGTGAGGAATGGTGACGCATGGCTACGTACACCGTCTTCAAACACACCTGACTCCATCATCCCCTCCTTGCCAAAGCAATCTTTATGTGTCCAGTTATTACAGGTTGTTTGTCTCTCTGCTCTGCATCACTGCTAACATGTCTGTCCATTCTGGGGCCAAAGATGTGGCCCAAAATAGGTAAATATAAAAAAGGAGGTAACATGAAAATTCTTAGACCAATTGACCTGCTCACAAGTTTGTGGCATTAATCTTAGGACTTTCCTGGCGAACGCTCCACTTCTGACTTTTGCAAAACTGGCTAAACATTTAAACTGGCAAATTACAATTGTTTTCTGGTCCCTTCCCAACCATTTTCTGACAGCCCTTTAAGTGATTGAAGCAAAATCAATTGCATTAAAGAAAATGCTTATGTGTTACACACCCCTGAAACTTACGTTCCCATAAGGAATGAAATAACAGTAAATGTCACAAAAGCACCCATTGTATACTACTTTAAGTTCGAGCTACAGGAGTATAATATTACAACCTTATTCAAAACCGTAGTCTAGCAACATTCAGACTATGTGTGTACAGTAGTTATAAACACTGTAAAGGCTTTATTCTAAACATCTTACACTGGTAAAACACACACAAAGAGTTACTGCTTACATAATTCTTCAGAGAGATGTATATATCATATACTTGTATTTAGAGTGTATTGGATTGTAAAACTGACTGAGAATTGAATTATTTTTGTAAGACAAAGCAACAAAAGACAGAGTCTTAACTAAAAATGTCTGAATTTATGGTTTATATATGATCCATCTGTTAGTTTGCATTTATCCATTATAAAAGAAGTACTATTGAAGATAAATTGTAAATCACTTGAAGTCTGTTCAGGGATTAATTTACACTGAAGTTATCATTCACAACTTTCCATTACTAATTTTATTGTTAAAAATAACTCAATTACTTTAAAGACATAGCTGGCTTCAGATTCAGCTTCCACTAGATTAAAACCAGTAATTTTTTAATATACTCTGCATTAAATGTGAATTATGTCTGTATATTATCTGCCTCATTTGGAACAATATTCATTCATGTAGGGATGCAACAGAAAGTCTACACACAGTTTAAGTTCAACTCTGTTCTTTAAAATATTTGCCAGTTCCTAGATTTTTAAGCTGGTCTATCACATGACATTTATTTCAGAATATTAATTTCCTCTCTGGTTAATTTCAAGAAATCTTCAATCATTCAATTCTTTGGAAGCTTTTCTTTAAAAATCAGAACAGAACTTGGCCATTTGTTACCTTATTTCTCTATTTTATTTTAAAGCCTGGCTAGCTTGTATATTGAGATTCTTTAAACAACCTCTGTGCATCTTACTAATGTTTATCATGAATGAATCTCACTGAAGTAAGCAGTATGAGCATTTTTTGCATCTTGAAAGTTCAAGCAGTGTACAACACTTTCTATGTTTGGGAGGTGGGAGGGTACCCGGTGGTGTTCTAGTTGTACACATTGCAGAATTATTCTTTGCTAGCCAATGGCTCACCCATGGGGATCTGACTGGAACTAGCCTTTATTGGGCTGCTTAAGCCATAAATTTACAGTTAGTAAAAGAAAACATTAAACACAAATAAGAAAGAACATAATTCCTGCTATTTATATTTTCCTCTAGCTACCTGTTTTGAAGGTTTACCTTTCTCTTCACACATCTCCTATTTATCTTTTTATTCTGTGATGGTTTTATGGTTGTTTTATTTTCGTTTTTCTGTTTTGGCATACCTGTTCCCAACATAATCAGTACGTTCTTTAAAAAAAAAAAAAAGGGAGAGAGAAAACCAGCAGGACTTCAAGCAGTACGAAGCAATTGGCACTAGACTCGTTTGAGTCTATTTTGGACTTTTGTTCTCTGTCTTACAATGAAATATTTACTGCATAGAGTATATTCAATCCTAAAACCCACATTTGTCTCCTATTTCATTGTGAAAATGAAACTGCACCTCAACTCTCAAGTCTGAAGAATGGCTTATGCTGCTTGTTCCATTAAAACAGTGGAAAAACAATGGGTGTAGAAGGTCAGCTAGGAAAACTGTTCCTGCCGATGCCTTATGTGATATTTACCTTAAACACAAGGAAGAGTAAGCTTGAGAAGTTGACAGGCTCAATTATCATATTTCACTTAATTATAATGTGATTAGGATGAAATGTTGCTTTTTATTACTCAGTAAACTATTGTGATGAAATAAATTATGCCATGTTTTATGTTTCTGTTAAAAACGAAACAAAACAGACAAAAAAACCCACAACCCCCTCCCCCCCCCAAAAAAAAAACAAAAAACCCCCAACCCTACTCTAGTCTGTTTTTTTTCTGTTTTTTTTTCACCTTTTTTGCTTGGTCTCTTCCAAGAATTTTGTTTTTTTTTTTCTTGAGGGTAATGGGAATTTGGGGCAACAGTGGGAAATCACAGAAAAGCATGAAATATTTTCCTAAATCATAGCCTGTGTTTCCTCATTATCAAAACCTGTATTCTTACTGAACTGCAACATGGATCTCATTTCACCTTCACTGAATGTATCCATTAGACTTCATACTCCTCCTTTTTTTTTTTGCATAACTAAGTGTACAGAGTCAGTTTACTCTTTACTTTAAAACTTCTTCTACATGGATAGAGCATGGTAGAGAGGACTTAACATAAATATGAATTAGAACCAGTCCTTTTAAGAAAACAATGAAATTCTTGTGGTCTTTCTGATCATACTGTTTGATATATGAGAAAGATGCTACATTTAGGTTGCACCAGCAGTTAAATTTTGAATAGTTTTCATTCTTTTCTTTTTCTTCTTTTTTTTTTTAATTCACAATATCACTCTTTAAGTAGGCACTTTTAGGAGTTTCTTGAATCTTTTTTCCATATTCACCTCCATATTTAGCCACTACTTCCAAAGTGTAAAATGCTACTGCTTAATACTGTTTTCAATTAGCAAACAACTCTCAAATTGTCCAGACTGCTGTTTCGGCATTTCTTTTGCATTTGCTATCTAGATACGATTTGGTCTGTCAATCTGCTTTGAAAGACGTAAGATAGAGTTTCATTCCTTCAATATGAATATAATTTGTGATGGCTTATATAAATTCAGATTTCCATTTAGAGTTCTATGCACATTTTTAATGGAGCCTATTAGTGAACAATTTTGCTTAGAGTGAAGCATAAAAAACAATGTCAAAACTATAGAATGCAAGGCTATTTCAAGATACCAGAAACACTTCTATTTACTGATTGAAGAAAAAGCCCACATTATTACAGGCTGTACCACAAAATAATTGACTGCAACAGGAGTTCTGCATCCGAAGCCAAAAATGAGGGCACATAATCGACGTCAAGGTCAATTATCTGGTAGCGAAGCACTCAACAAAAGGAGACTATTGTGATTAAAGAAATAAGCAGAACATTGTGAATTTGGAAAGCCTGGCACTGAAGATAGCTTTTAGACTCTTTGCAAACCACCAGAAACATTGTGTTAGAACACTGAGAATCACAGATTAATTCATAAAAAAACAGGAGACAGAAATCAGTTATGGTGCAGTTGTTTCACTGGACTTCTGTTATCTTTAGCCTGTAGATCTTTCATTGTGCTGCTTTCTCTGCTGAAGACTAGAAGAAATGCTGCTAAAAATCATACAGTTTTTAAAACTGTGCCAGGACCTTTTTGAGCCATGTATTCCAAGTTGCAAATCTAACCCCTCTATCTATGCATTACTTGAAAGACACTTCTTAAAACATTTATTTTTAAAATCTATTTTTCCACAGTTTAATATATAACAAAATTCCTAATAGCCTCATGCTATGATATCATTCATCCATGTGTGTTCCTGATGTGACTGCTACTACTCCTGTCCCTTTTCTCTTTCCTGCATCTCCTGACTCCTTATTCTATGTGGGAATAGTCGTTCGTGTTTTTCTCTTTCTTCTTGTCTTAATTTAGGGAATTATCCTAGAGTCATTACTAACCCAGAACGGATTAGCTTTCTAATAACTCACAAAAGACATGGTTCAAACCTTTCAGGCTAATGGGACACAATTTCTTTTGACTTCAAAGAATTCCATAATCAGTCTCATAATCAGCATTTAGTGGCAAGCTGATAGCTCCAAATTCTGTGATATATCTTATGTTTTTAATAAGGTTTCGCAGGTTCAAATACTTACCTTATAAATTACATTAGTCAGTGACTTAAACAGATAAGTCTATTTGTTTTCAAATGGTATGCTGTCTTTGAAAACAATTACAATAGTACTCACCCTACGGTAAAAAACTGCCTCATCTCCTGTCTTCGAGACCTCATCAGTTGTTTGTATTCACCAATACGCAATTTCTTTCCATCAACAATGCAGGTACGTTTTGGTCGAGGTTTGTATTTGTAATTAGGATACTTTTCTAGGTGGATTTTACTTAGCCGTGCCTGCTCTTCGTAGTAAGGTTGTTTCTCTTGATTTGACATGGACTTCCAGCGAGATCCTGTTAACACAAAGCATTATCGAGTGCTTTACAAATACATATTTCAACATGCCTTTTCCTCATAATAAACAAATTTTAAATAAGTTAATTAAACAAACTGATTTGAATTTATATCAGATAGCACATACATTGGGATGCACAATCTGAGACACGTTAAAAGAACCTTGACTTTCAGATATTGCTACAGATCAAACATATGTGAATCTCTACTAAATAGGTGCACTTAAAATCGTTTCTTCTGAATATACCAGCCTCGTGCTGAAAAACAGGCTATTAATTTTTTTACAATATGAGCATTAATCTGTGAATAATTCATATCTTTGTAATACCACACACAGTATTATGGTTAAATAAGGTCTACAACTATACTTTTGCTGTTAAAAGCTTAACACATTGCCTGGGGATACATGCTTCTTTGATAGTTTTATGGGGATTTGGTTTATAGACTCCTACTAATAGATATTAATACCTTGCTATGTAGCAAGAAAAAAATATCAAAATTCAACAAAATTATGAAAAATTGTTTGCTGTCTGCGTGTCTTAAATTTACTAATCTTATAATATAAGCTTGGCAAATGTGCTGGTTTTGCCTATGATAAAGTTACTTTTCTTCATAGTAGCTAGTATGGGCTTTCTTTTGAATTTGTGCTGAAAACAGTGTTGATAGCACAGGCATATTTTCCTTCTTGCTGAGCAGTGGTTATGCAAAGCCAAGCCCTTTTCTGCTCCTCACCCCACCCCACCAGTGAGGAGGCTGGGGGTGCACAAGAAGCTGGGAGGGGACACAGCCAGGATAACTGACCCTAACTGACCAAGAGGATATGCCATACCCTGTGGCATCACATTCAGCATATAAAGCTGGGGGAGGAAGAAGAAAGGGAGGGGATGTTCAGAGTGATGGCATTTGTCTTCACAAGTAACTGTTCCATGTGATGGAACCCTGCTTTCCTGGAGATGGCTGGACACCTGCCTGCCTATGGGAAGCAGAGAATTAATTTCTTAGTTTGCTTTGCTTGTGCATGCAGCTTTTCTTTTACCAATTACACTGTCTTTACCTCAACCCAGGAGTTCTCTCACTTTTACCAGTACTCTTCCCATTCCACCAGGAGAGAAGTGAGTGGCTGTGTGGTGCTTTGTTGCCAGCTGGGGTTATATGATAGCATATTATTGGCACCTTACTATATTTTAAATCCAATTTGCATATTATCTTCAGGTACTATAAAATCTCATTGAAAGCTGCACCAATTAAAAAGTTAAAAAAACAGTGTACACAGGAAGAGGAAAAAGTATTCAGATTTCTTGTACTGTTTATAAGGAGCTATCTAAACACTTGAATAGAGAAGGGATATTTTTTTTTTAATCTTTTTTTTCCAAGGGATAAGAAATGCAGAAAATAGCTTATTGGTGTCTTTTAGATGAATAAAACAATTACAGCTGCGGTAAACATGGGTGGAAGCTATTCTTTTACCAAGATTTTTCATACATCAACAAATGGAAAAGTTGTTAAATATTATCTGTAGCCAGCAATACTCTCTGTCAGTTCTAATATTTCAGTCTCTTTTCTCATTGTCCTGGAAAAGCTGCACAGACATTATATGGACATAGACTTATTTGTGGCAGAGCAGATACTGACAGGTTAATTCCATGGTTAACAAACACTCAATTGCTGGCACTTCTGAAATATTTATGCTGGAAGTTTACATTTTAATGAATACAGTTACTATGCTCCTAATAGTTTTTTCACAGAATGCACACAAATAATATAGATTCACTACAGCTGCCAACACTGAAACAGTGCAGGTTTTATACAAAACTGAAAGGCTATTCATATAGCTTACTTATATGGCAGGCAAAAATATGAGAAGTACCAAGTAAGATTTTGGAAGTTTTAGGACAAAGTAACATTTACTTCTATGTATTGTTGCCTCTAATTGAACTAACAAGCAACAAACTTTGGAAAGAATGTATTTGAACTCGAAGTTTACAATAAAATGATTACAGAGGAAACTTGATTTTTACTTTTATTTATTACGAGTTACATTTGGAATCTGTCTTTTACTTCAAAGACTCAGAAAGCAAATATAGGTTTTAACATTTCACCACTCATTCTCACGTAGTATGTTTCTAATTCTCTGGAGGGGTCTAAAAGCAAATCAAAATTTCTCAAAAATGAGCCAATTTATTTGTACAGTGGCAAAATATAATCCATGGTATATTCCCTGATCATCCTAATTTACACAAATTAAATATTAACTATGGTGTCTTTTAACTAAGCAGTATTTTAATTATATACTAGTGCTTCCTTAGCTTTTTGAACATGGCAACATTTTGAATCAAACATCATTTTGCATGTAAGAAGGTATACATGTACATGTCTTTTGAACTGTGCCAGGTTTCTTTGACACTGCACTGTCTGACATAAACCTTTGATTCTGATTTTGTACTTTATTTTTTTTCTCAGTATTTACTCTAGCAAGTAGTTCAGGTGATTTCTAATGAGATCTTATAATTAGACCTTTTATCAGTACATGCTTTTGCAACAGATTTCACGAAACATTCCTTTTGAATGCTGCTAAGTCTTTAAAGCATGTTATGACTCTGCTGGTGAAAATAAAGAGCATTGGGGAAGGAGCAGAAAGGGAAAAGGGAATGAAAATGAAAATAACCCAGGAAATTTCATTTGTATAAGTTTCAGTAATTCTAATTTCAGTTAACATCTCCCAAACAAAATATGTCCTAAAATGAGAGAAGCTGCGTATCCAAGAAGGAAGAAACTAGCCTGTGTCACCAATATAAATAATCTCATCTTTCCACAGCTCCAAAAATTGCCACTACTGTAGCAGAGCCTTCTTTGCTTCCCTTATTTTTGGTTAAGTCACGATCACGATTTGTTCATTGTCTCGCACTTACCTAGGATTTTGCTAATGTTGGAGTTGTGCATGTCAGGGAAGGCTTGAAGAATTTTTCGACGCTCGTCCTTTGCCCAAACCATGAAAGCATTCATTGGTCGTTTGATATGCGGTTCGCTACTGGCTCGGCCCCGTGAATCCCGGTAGACTCGAGCTTCAGCCACAGTGGCACCTCCTGTTGGCCAACAATAATACTGCTGTAGTTTAGCTGCAGAGCCATTCATTGCTTTACTTCCTGTAATGTCAGGGCAGGAAGAAACAAGATGGATGCAAAACATTATTACGTGGATTATGCAAGCGCTTTCAGTGCTGTGTTTATTTTAGCCTCATTCTCTTTCTCTCTCTTTTTGTTGCCAGATCTATAAGAGAGAAAGGCTATCCAGTGATTTCAATGTAACTGATCAGGCTCACCCAGCTGAAGGCATAAAAATCTGAGTGAAGAAACAAATTGCACTGGTATTTCTCCAGGTAAGGCATGGAGATTTGAAAAAGTTTCTGTTTGGGACTTTAACATAACACACATGTTCTGAATGCTCAATGAAATTCACATAAAAGTTACACTCGAGAATCCAAACTGATGTATACTTGTTCACACAAGTAATTCACAACTTCGTTGCTTCAGCAGTGAAGCACATGCCAAATATTTCAAAAATTATATACAACACCAGGTACATGCTGCTAATTATATAGATCTGGTTATATTTGGAGCTGAACATTTTAAAGTCACATCTTCTTTAGTTGAGTTTTAGACATGTCTTGGAGCATTCAATCACATATATGTAACCATCTGCCTTCAACAGGTGCATGAACAGCATCCTGGAGCTTCTGGAATGGGAGACAAGCACTCCAGCTTCTTCATGCCTGCTGTGCTTTAATATGGCTTGGTGTCCTGTCTTTACACACTACCAATTCAACATGTACATGCTAACTTTAGTTGATTTTTTTGAATGCATCCACTCCTGCTTCTTGACCACAAACAGCAAAGCTTCGTGGGTTTAGAGTTCATAGAACTGAGTAGGGGATGTAGAACTAGTTAATGCAGTTGTCCAGTTATCTCTTTCTTTTAATATCTCTAATACCAAGCCTAGATAAGGCATGCTTTCACCAGAGAAATATTTGTAATTGTGATGATAACATTTATATTTAGGGTTATACCTTAGCTGTAAAAGTAAGGCAAAAAGTCTTTACAGTGGGAGAGTGACTTACTTAGTCTTAGCCTCATCAAAGTGTTCATATAATTCAATACCTTGGAAAAGCAAAGTACTTGACGACAAGCTAGCACCGCAATAGGCCTCCTTTTTTCATAAACTATTACAGCTCTTGACATAGATTTATTTGCCAAATAACATAAGATTAGTTATAGTAAAAAATAAAAAGTCACAAGTTTTTAACTGTGCAAAACCTAAGTTTCTTAATTTAGTGGAAAAACACTTTATGTCAGGTACACTACTGAAAAAAATCTATATGGGAAACACATTTACATGAAAAAAGCCCTAAAACAGAGGATGCATAACTAATACACTACCTTTTTGCCACCAGGTCCACAGTACATTAATTTCATTTAAAATGCACTGACCATACAGGATAAATTGATTTTGCTTTATATGGTGTTGACAGCCATGTTTATTGTGCATTGAAATGTATGGTAGTTTCAAGCTGACTGTATCCATCAACACAGGGCAATATGCTGACTACTGGGCCAGATGAAGACATACGTTACCCTGAGAGCAAAACATTCATATACGGCACTGTCTTTTCCTGAGGATCACCGTGGTAATTTATGATGCCTCTAATGCCATTACTTTACAACTGACACCAATTTGGCAATTTGTATACTAACATGTGTGCACATAAAAGAAGACAGGTTTGTGGCAAATGTGAGATGCAGAACTGTTTTAATACTGTTCTAAGTACCATGCTACAGGTGTTCAACATTTACAGAAGGCTGCAGCTGCAGTCAGCTTTTTATTGCAAAAAGGAACAGTAGTTTTGCTGAGCGACCTGCATGTACAACCGGTTTAGGGGTGTGTATGGCTCATGAGGCTCTGCCCTTTGGTGGCAGAAGGCTTGCAAAATGCATATCAAAGATACCATCTTTTGAGAGAGGATATATTTATTGAGAAACTATATTAAGTTACAAACACAGTAAGTCAACACTGAAACATTTACTGAGACAAACAGTTATACAATTTGAAAAAAAATCAAATATATCACGTAATGGTTGTTCCACCTTTTAAAACAATACTATAAAAACTGTAACTAGTATTAGGAAGTTGGTGACAAATTGAAAAAAAAAATTATTGATGCAAAAGTTGTCATTTGTTGTACAGCTACTCACAGCAAAGAAAAGAAAACATATTTGAATCCATACGATGATTTCCATCTTTACTTTCCCAAAGGTACTTATTCACTGTGGCTAAGGAGTTTGTCTTTAGCCGCTTCTAACACAATTTTGACCTAACCTTTTAATCTTAGAGCAGGCAAAGAGTACCTTTACAAGTATCAAGATTAAAGATTATAGGTTTTGGTTTGTTGGTTTGTTGTTTGTTTTTTTTTTTGATATAATTGAGATAGAATGAAAAAAAAGCAGCATACATGATCTGTTTTCAGATAAAGGTTATGTTAGAAACAATTCTTACTTGGGGTAATAAATTACAACAACCCTAGGAAGGCCAAGAAGCTCTGGCTGCATCTGCTTTAAACAAGTCCATACTTGAAGGACTTGAAAAAGCAGCCAGAGAGTTGATGTTCTTTGTGCTTGATCTCTAGGGGAATATTTGCAATTTGACCCATAGGCCATCACAAAAGCATCTGCAAAATGAATTTCTGCAAATAACTAAAGTAATATAACCTCCATGTTCTTCTAATTATTTCAGAACTACAGAATTATATTGAGTATATAAAACATTACAAGAAAATACTGCTCTTAGTGCGTGATTCTGTGTGGGGAGCCAGGAAGTCTCAGTACCTTTTTAGCTTAGAAATGAGGCACTAATGATACAAAAAGCACATATCCTTAGTGTTTTCACAAGTTGAAACACATAAGAACAAGCTTTCAAACTGGTTGTTCTTAGGCACTTCACCCTGTCAGTCAGATATTTAGACAGTATTGTGTGCTCTATAAACAATTTCAACAAGTTTTACAAAGTATGTATTTTTTTCTTATTGTGATAATTATAGTACTGAGAAAGGTGGAAAGAGTCCCCTGAAATTTTTAAAGGAAACATATATATACAACTGCAAAGAGGTAGGTGATTTACTTCTTTATAAAAATATTTTCAGGAAAGTCTAATACAAAATAAACCTCAAATATTAGACAAAATAAAAATGTATTACTAATGAAAGGTGAGAAGGGAGGAGAAAGTTGGTAATTGTCTCTGTGGCAACTGATGCGCTATCAGCTAGTTAATGTTCATACTGCAATTGCAGGAGGAGTTTTTGATTTTCAGAATTAAGAACTTGGTCAGAATTTAAGATTATTGCAAAAGCAGTACAGTTTGGCTGCCCTAATGGCTTAGTTGGCAAAGTCTATACTTCAGCCTAAAGGCTGGGGCTGTTCTCAAAGTGACGCTTTAAGCTTTTGAGGGTGTAGACTGACTCACTTCCTAGTTACTTTGCATTTGCCCAACCTGTCATGACTTTGATGATTTAAAACTAAAAGCAGATTAGTGAAGAATGATCACTTTTTGTGGATATATGGCAGACAACTCCTCCCTGAAAGCTGGATTCCAGACTAGACTCTAAGGACAGTACTGGGTCAGAGAACACCACAGAATGCATCTGGAAATGTTACAGCTTCCTTAAAGTAATTTCAAACAGCAATTTTGTTCCAAAAGAGACTCTAATGTTCTCTAATGACAGTGAGGGGAATGAAGAATCCCTGTTCTTTAGGTAGAGAAAAGAATCTGATCATCGGCAGGAAACATAAACCCCCCCCACATTTATACATGAATGAACTCTTAAGAAACATACAGTAACAATTTTTACATTATTTATTCCTGCCTTTATCTGAGTTTCTCACTTTATATAATGACAAGAATTTCAGGAAGGGCACCATCTCTTAGCATGCTCCCTAAAGTCTTTGCCACATTAGGGTTAATCATGCTGTCTTTAATGAGATGTGGTTTTACCTTCCATTTTATATATCGTCTACCACAACAAACCTCAGACTAGGTCTTTAGATGTTAACAGAATGCAAATAATAACGTGATAAAAAGGAGCAAAAAAAAGGGGTGAGAAAAAAGATGAGGAAAATAAAATAAAAGAAGTAACATCAAAAATATTTTTATCAGTCACTCTTTTATACTTTAATTACTCTTTACACTATGGCCATTGATTCATGTTTGAAGTGATACATTTTCTTTGACTCTCCCGAGATAATGAATCTTTGGCTACACCAGAGAATAGAATGGATACCATTTTCCACAGGCATATAACAAGATAGGACATATGGAAATAAAGACAGTCTTTCCAAGTTCCTAGTGCAGAAGTGACTGGTTAGTAGTAAAGCTCCTATAATGAGTTATTCATTAAGCTGAGATGACAATTTTGTCTACTTTGGAGAAGACTGGTTGCAACCCCCAAAATACATGGTCCTGTCTGTGGTAATACATGTAGCAGAGCTAGCAGCTTGTGTTGCAGAAACCAGAATCTAATGAACATGCAAACAGAAGTCATTCTTTTCATACTAGAGATGGGTTACTTATAAACATGGAAATGCCATAAAAACAGGGAGCATGAAAAACCGGTTTGGCTGTCCCCCATCCTGCTCCTAAGTTGTGGACAGACGAATGCAGCTTTTATGAAAGATATAGCAATATTTCAAATCAAATAGAAACTGGAAAGAATGACAAAAGAACATCTGGAAAGTTTAAAATACAAGAACAATAATTTAAATATTATTTTAATTTATTAAATTCAATTTTGTAGAAAAAGGAATAATTCACTGTAATCTAAGTGACTTGTGGTAGTGTTAATATAACATTTATCGATTGTGTCCCTTGCTTGCCTCTTACTTCTTCATCCCTGTCCACATTCAGAAGACGTTCTCATTCTTTATTATCAGCAAGAGAGGCAAGATAAATTGGTATCTCATGAACTGTTGCCATTACGGGCATGGATTGTTATTACTAGGCAAAACTAATACCTACTTGGAAACATAACTAGTTTCAGGATGTGGATGCCTGTAGTCACACAGTGGCATAAATGTTCTGCAGGGAAGTGTTTGTTTGTCAA